AAAAAAAAAAAAACGAAAGAAGAATGTTCAAAATCCAATAAAAGAACAAATTAGTGATGAAGATATAAATATTAATGAAGATATGTTATTATCAAAAAAACAACGTAAGAAACTTCAACAAAAAAAAGCATTATTAAATAAAATTGTTGAAAATAATCAACAATTATCTAATGAGAAAATAGAGGAATATGAAGAAAATTTAATGAAAGAAAAAGATAAAACAGAATTATTATCTGTTAATGTAGAAATAAATAATACACATAATGAAAAATCTAAAAGTAAAAAAAGTAAAAATACAAAGAAAAAATCACAAAATATTGAAGTATCAGATTTAACACATTGTTGTATTACATGTAAAATTGAATTTGCTAGTAAAAATAAATTATTTGAACATTTGAAGAAAACAGGACATTCTGTATATATACCAAATTCATTGAAAAATAAAAAGAATCAAGAAGAAAAATCAAGTAAAAGCAAAGATAAAAGAAATTAGAACAATGATAAAAGAAATTATTAATTACTCTAAATAATTCATATATTATTTGATTTAATTTAGTGTAATTAATTTAGAAAATGTGTGTGAAAAACATTTAATTAATAAATCTTAAGTTATTATGTATACAATATTATGTATTACATATTGTACAATTTTATTATTAAATAAATATAATAAAAATTTCTTTGAATAAATTCGTTTTTATTTTATTTATTGTTTTACATAAACACTTATTTTATTATATATTAAAAATAATTTAATTTAAAATTTAATGTAATATTGAAATATAGTAAATTAAAATTAACACATTTTAATATTAGTATTTTATTATATTTTATTATATTTTAAATACTTATTTATTTTCCATGGAAATCTGCAAAACTTTCATACTTAAATTTTTCAGGTCAAAAAATATCAATGCAATAACTAAATATGAATGCAGTTGTCTACTCTGCTGTTAGTCGTAGGTAAGATTTTTTATTCTTTCCTTAATAATTTTTAAATAATTATATGTATAAAATTTAGATAATATAAAAATAATATTGTTTATTTCAGTTTATCTACCAGTATGGCAACCAAAAAACTTGTTTATCCTGCAGCTGATCGTAACAAGAATCCAATACTTTTAATTCTTCAAAAATATATTCAACATAGTCCAGATCAAATCTTTTTAGAGATATCATCTGGTAGTGGACAACATATAGCCCATTTTGCTTCTCATTTTCCTGAAATAACTTTTTATCCTTCAGAATATGATCTAAAACTAATAGAAAGTATAACAGCTTATGCAAATGGATTTTCAAATATAAAGCAACCTTTACATATAGATGTTAAGACAGATTTTCATATTTGGGAGAATAATATATTTAAAGAAGCCAGTATTGATTATATATATAATGCAAATTTGATACACATTTCACCTTATGAATGTTCTATTGGTTTATTTAGTAATGCGGGTAAATTATTAAAAAAAAATGGTATTTTATTTACATATGGACCTTATGCTATAGATGGAAAAATAACGCCAGAAAGTAATATTAATTTCGATAAAAGTTTAAGACTTCAAGATCCAAGGTGGGGTCTCAGAGATATTAATGATTTAAAGGAATTAGCAGAAAAAAATGGACTGAAGTTAATAAATATTCATGATATGCCTGCAAACAATAAAACTATTATATGGAAAAAATATTAAATATATTAATGTAAATATATAAATAAATAATTATTAATAATAAAATAAAAAAAATTTTAATCATTTTATTATGAAAGATTATCTTAAATCTAATAAATATTTTAAAAATCTATAATATTTTATTTCAATTACAAAACATTAAATTGTTAAAGTTATGCATTTTGATAATTAATATAAGCTTCTTATTTAATAAATTTTTATTATAATTTTTAAAATATATTTCTTAATGTTATAACTATATATATATATATATATAACTATATTATAATAGTTTATATACATTTTTTTCTTTTTAAAATATATGTATGCATATATATAATTTTAATGATAATCAAAAAAATTTACATTTTCTAATCCTTCTGGCAAATAATTCAAACCTGATTCATTTTTGTGTTTCATATTGTAACCTTTACCGTATCCTAAAATGAAAAGTGTATATGAAATATATTTTAAATAGTAAAAATTTTATAGTAGCAATTATAGTAAGAAATAAAATGGATTGTTTACCTAAATTTTTCATAAGCTTTGTTGGAGCATTTCTTAAATGTAAAGGTACACCTGGTTGAGGTCCTTTATGTTCAGCTACTACTTTTTGAGCAGCTCTAAGTGCATCTTCCATCAATCTAGATTTTGGAGCTCTGGCTAAATATATCGTACATTGTGCTAAAAGGATATTACATTCAGACATTCCTATCATCTTACAGCCATGCATTGTATGTATAGCAATTTCTGAAAATTATTTTAGAAATTATAGGCAAATTATTAACAAAATTATAGTACTATCTATTTAATTTAAACCAAATGATTTGAATTAAAATAGATAATTATTAGTCATGAATGTACCAAGAGCTTTTGGATCTTCTAAACCAATATCTTCACATGCCATTCTAACTAATCTTCGTGCAATATAATTTGGATCTTCTCCACCTAATATCATTCTTGTTAGCCAATAAAGAGAAGCATTTTCATCACTTGCTCTAACAGATTTATGTAAAGCTGAAATCATATCATAATGCTGGTCACCTTTCTTATCATATAACATATGAGTTTTTTTAAGACTTTCTTTAATATCATCTAATGTAATAATCACAGGACCATTCTTCAAAAAGTCTTCATTGTTTGGTAATTTGCATTGAACTGCTAATTCCAAACCACCTAATGCTATACGAGCATCACCATCAGAGGTTCCTGCCAACCATTCTATGGTTGGTTCATCTATAATAAATTTTGGTACTTGAGTGGTATTTTCCAATATTTTATTTGAATTATGCACTATTCCTTCTAATGATATTACAGCTCTGCTTAGTATACATATCAAATTAGATATATTTAATTTTTCTAAAACGATGACTCTACAACGACTTAAAAGTGCTGAATTTAAACTGAAAGAAGGATTTTCTGTTGTTGCACCAACTAATGTAATAATACCAGATTCAACATGTGGTAAAAATACATCTTGCTGATTTTTATTAAAACGATGTATTTCATCCATGAAAACTATTGTACGTCTATTAAATTTTAATTCATTAGTAGCTATAGTTATTATTTCTTTTATTTCATTTACACCAGCCATTGCTGCAGATAACTTAACATATCTTATTTTACCATTTGATTTAGTTTTACATATGTGAGCTATAACATTTGCTAAAGATGTCTGAAATTTATATAAAACTTTATATGTATATTATATGTAAATATAATATATGTAATTATATGTAAATTTTTATAATTTTTTTACATAAAATTATATTGTTTTATAAATAATATAATTAAGAAATTACATATAATTAAAAAATTATTTTACAATACCTTTCCACAACCAGGTGGACCCCATAAAATTATATTTGGTATTTCAAATTTATTTAATAATTGATAAAGAATAGTAGATGGTCCAAGAACATGTAACTGTCCAACATATCCTAAAAGTGTTGTAGGTCTCATGCGTTCCGCAAGAGGTATATAATCATTTCCAAATAATTTTTTAATTTCTTTATCTGTCTAAAAATTACTATTATTAATTATCTATTATACATTCTTATATTTTTATCCAAAGAAAAAAATTACATTAGTGTTAAGAAAAGTTTTTGGTATCTGAGAATCTATATTTATTGATGATGATTCTATTACAGTAGTTTTCTTTTTTACTAATCCCAAATCACTCTTTTTTGCTTTTGTATTATTTAATTTTACATATTTCCTTGCAGGGCTTTCATCTTTAAAAGATTCTTTGCTTGTTGATTCATTTAAAAATAAACATTTACTAACATGATTTTCTATTATTGTAGAAGAAAATTCTTCAGAACAGATAGGACAAGAAATTTTATCATTATCCATGTCTTAATCTACAATAAAATAAATATATACTTAATAATTATAATTAAATAGATTAAGGTATTTTGAAAATAAAGAAAATTAAGTCTATAATTTATTGAATATTACATGATATATTGTTATTGATATTATATTATTTCAAAAAATTTTTAAATAATAAAATTTTTTCACATTTCAAAGAAATTTCTTTATTTTATAAATAAAGCAATGTATAAAATTACCGCGATGCGCAGAAAGAATTCTCACAGGGATTTTCAGAGATAGTACCGTTATATTACATACACAATCATATAAATATAACCTGTGATCGTTCTTATTAATTTAATATCACATGTTTCCAATATTTTATTAAAATATTTAATACTTTCAATATTTTATATAGCAGTAAGAATTTGAAAGAATTGAATTTTTTTTGAACACTTTTTCAGAAATTTAAATTTTTAAGACAAGATAGTGTTATGTTAAATCTATTCTTTGATGATGTGGGTCGACACTAGATCAAAGTAGTGGCTTGGTAACGTCTCTTTTGATTTTTCAAAATAATAGCAATTAAGAAAATAAAAATATCGCATACGGATTATAACGATATTTCAAACAATAAATTTATGCAATGATAGTTCGTCGAAGACGAAGAATATTAGATAACAAGCAATCGCAAGTACAAAGCGCCAAGTTTGAGTATGAACATATTTCTACTAATTGTACTGAAAATGTTCAACGAGATGA